CTTGTGGAACCCCACACTGAACTGCTCTCTGTTGAAACGCAACTCGTGAGTCTAAGGCCATGGCTGTGACTCAACGTGATAACTAGTGGTCTCTAAAGTAGACGGTGCGATATCCTCTTCTTATCTAAATTGATGATTCCGATGACATTATAGGTTTAGTAGTCCTAGAGTTCTGAATCCCCCTAGATCTGCAAAGGTCTGGGTTCTTGAAATCCCATCCTTTCAGTGTGTTGTTGCTATCCACATCTGAAAAATTGGTTTCTTGCGAACCCAATGCATTATCGCCTGAGTTCCGCTTGAACCTCAGGCTTTGAAGCCAGTGATCATGTTGTTGTAAACATGAGCAAAGATTCGCTTGAGACGCCACTTCTGGTTATGTGACTTCGCCTTGCAATCCCATGGACCTCTTGACCTGGGTTTGACTCCAAGCGATTCGACACCGTAGGATTGTCTGAGGTCTCTGAATCCGAACTTAAGATTAAAGACTCAAGCCAAAAATCTACTATAGTGGGTACCTACCTCTGCTAGTGGCCTAACCCCCCCCCCTTTGGGGTGCTTTGGTTGGTCGTGGGGGCCTAACCCCCCCCTTTACGGGGGTTCACCGGTGGAATTATAGAAGTGCATTGAAAGTCAAAGCACCCCCGCAAAAGAGGGGGGGTCCAAACGTCGACGTTTGGACGGGGTCTTTTCGGATGGGTGTCCTGTCGATGGATGCCAAGAAAAATGACCCCTGAAGCATTCCTCTGACGCGTCATGACTCCCCTCCTTTTCTCTTCCAGTCATATGGGTCTACTGCGTTTCACGACCTGGTTGCACTGCGTGCAAAATGGTGCAGTGTGAGCGTCTATGTCCACACTCTCGACTTCCTGGAGATTGAGGGTCATTCGCCTCCCACATGCCAGTTTGCCATCATCGGCGTCCTTGAGCACATGGATTGTTCCAGAAAAACGATGGGCTACAAAAGTGAACTCGTCCACCTGGTCAGGAATCGATGGCCTTTCTTTCAAAATCAATCGAGCATCTCGATGTGGATTGGACGCTTCTGGCTCTCCTATGTCGGAGTCATCGGTGTCACTCAATGGGATCGCCTCTTCGATATGGGCTTCTCCGGCGCCACCCATAAGGCTGTGAAGTCTCTCCGCCCTGCTCGCGTCCGGGTCGAGCGACCCATCCTTCAGCATGTTGATCAGCTTCATGACCTTAAGCTGAAGCAAAATCTGAGCATCTCGACTGTAAGTCAATTGGGATCTCGTATTCGGCTCTACATGGTGTCCAAGCTGAGTCCTCTCATCCCGACCGAATAAGGGGGGTCATCCCAGCCCAAGTCAGAAGCGTGGCCTTGCATGAATGCGAGGAGTATTTCATAGCCCACTCTGCACCTCGGCCCCGCTCCAGAATCTCCCGGAGGAAGCAAGTTGCCTCTGCTGATGACATTGGGATTTGGGTCCACCTCGCAAACCTATCATCGAATGAAGGCACCAAAAGGTCTTCATAACCGAGTCCGCTTTGGCTCCTCGCCTGCAGAAATCGCTTCGCCCATGACTCGTCGTCACAGAAGGTTCCAATTGCAGTAAAGGGCAAAAGTCTCGTTTGGGCTTCTTTCGATCGGGACGTCTTGTGCCTTGCCGTTTCTGCCTCTATGAGGACTACCTCCTGGTGTTCAACAATGTTGCAATGCTCAATCATGCTGATGTCCGACCATCTGGCGCGTGAAAATATGCAGAAAAGCAGAGCTCCCGCCACCACTGCGTGCACCACTGAATCTGAGTGTAGGCACTCGTCTTCCAGTCTCTTCACCGCTTCCAGTGGCAGATTTGGAGCCTGCTTTAACTTCCGTTTGGTCAGATATTGCACATGGGCTGCCCCCACAACCCTCGGGGACAACACTGTGGCAACCTTGAACATCGTGAACTTCAAATGAGCTTCGAAAAACCGCACCGATTCCAAAAAGTGAGAAGCACCCGTAGCTGCATGGTTGCTGTCACGGAGATAACAAACATACGAGTATACCATCTTCTCTGTGGAATGGAGACATGATGAAGTGTAATCACCCGCCGTCCATTTGGCATAATTCCAAAATGATGAAGTCCTTTTCACCAGAGTGGCTGTAGCCTTGGTTGCGAACGCACCGCTCAATGCCTGCATCAAATCGGCCTTTTCGTCAAGCGCACCTGCCAGGTTTGTCATTGCTCTGCCCAGCTCGGTCGCCTGAAGGTCGGTCAGGAGTATGACCTTGATCTGATTGAGAGCCCGGTCCCTGGAATTGTCACTAGAAACTGCAACTCTCGCCTGACGAAGCCTCTGCATAGCAAATGGGGAAAATTGAAGATTGTTGTACTACCTTCTCCTCCCTAAGGGTCTGCGACGGGTTCAGCGTGTCCACCAATCCAACCCTTGGCGTGTCCATTTTTGCATCAACGCTGATGACATCCTGACTGACAAAAAGGGCCGCCAATGGTCCAGTCTCCCATGGCAACTTGATGTTGTGCTGTCTGACCGTTTGCAACGCTGCCAATTGAGCCGTCTGTTGGATGTTTTCCAGGACTTGGGGTGTCACCTGCAACTCATCTTCCTGAATCGAATTGTCATCATGTTTGCCATTCGTCCCAGTCTCCAAGATGCGACCCTGAACCCTCATCTAAAGATCGAGCCTGAGATTGAACACGCCAACGATGCCTAAAACCCTTCAAAAGCTTGGCCGGTCTCTCACATGACTCGTCAGCCTGGACCTGGTCCAGTCCTCCAGTCTCCTGATTTGCTGCTGTTGCTTCCAAGATCGTAGGCACATTCCCAAGATCTACATCATTAAAGTTCGACTGTACAACCAAATCAGAAGGTCCAGAAGTGTCCAGTCCGTCCTGAAGGTCATCATGCCGCTCCTGGTCACCTCGTACTGCTCCGGTCTGAATCCCCCAAGAAAGTTGGAGCGCCATCCAAAGGGGGTCTCGTGACCAACGATTACACAAGCAGGAACTGCCAGATGCGATTCATATGTCCAAGAGCCAGGCAATGAAGGCAATGGCAGCTGTAAAATGACCCCTGAAGTTGCTAATGATTTTGGCAAAGACTGTCTAGCTTTGAGAGCTATTATCTATTGATTAGTGCATGGTTAGTCTGCTGTTGCGACTTATGTTTCTGACTGAGTTGTTGAAATCTCAGCCAGAAGCTTGTGAGCCATGCACTCGGTCGTCCAAAATCATTCCGTAAATTTCAGTGGGTATTCTTAAATGAATGTTTGCGTGTGCCTCCTGTTTAGGTGTAGCGTGTTAACACCATGTTTTGTGAGGCAATACGAACAGCATGATCATGCATGTGAACACACATGGCACGTTTAATGTCTGTTTGTCAACAGTGTCGGAAAACAGACTTATTAATTTTTCTTTTCCTTCTCGATTGCTTACTTTGTGCCAAGATTTGTTGAGGAGATCTCGCGCATAATTAAAATCAGTACTACGCTCCAGTATTACTTACGCCGGGCAGCAAAACATGGTTATCACTTCGTGACCACCTTCATCTATATAGTCGATACTATCCCTTCATATACTATTCCTTAGTATTCGTGGTACGAATATCAAACAAATCGAGCCACACATCAACGAAGATCAAACTACTCCGCCTTGTTCTCCTGGTAGATCTTGCAGCTCTCCCTTATTTGCATCGCGCACGCAACTCTGACGTACATCAATTGCGGCTGAAGCCTTCATGTGAGGGGTGCTTGAGATGCCGTGAGCATATCCAAGTACAAAGGACTCATACCAACATGCTTTAGTTGGGTTGGAACTGCTCTCGAGACATCCAAGAACGCCCGCGTTATACAACTGAATATTCAAAATGATTCAAACTCAAAGATAATGAAACTCATAGCTACCTGACCCAAACATCAACTCCTATTTACCCGAAATGAACAAGCTCTGACAGAAGGCGCAAGTGAACTCCAGTGAAACGACAACTACATGCGCTTACGACCGTATGTGTCTCAACATCTAGACAATGACCAGGGCACCACGCTGGATCTGCAGCGACATCACCAATCCTGGTGTCAAGCCAAAAGTCCTGACAGTCGCCAAACTCATCTGACCTGTTTGCGACAAGCGCATTCCATGGGGTTCAACCTGAGGACCTTTGCCATGTGCCACACTCTTCGCGATCCATCAACAAAACCAAGTCGTTCCAAACATGTTGCGAAGGAGTTTTGGATAAGGTCGTAACGCTTACAAGAAGCACATCACGCCAAACAAAACTATACCCTGAGCCTGCCAAACGACACTTTCACCAGTTTTCTTTTGCCCATGCTATACTGCGCTGCTCCGAACCAAAAATGCACAAGTAATTACCATCAGGATTCTTCTGCGTCTGACTCCATGGACCCTGGATGAGCATGTTGGACAAAGCTGCGCTCGATGTCACTTCTTGATCAAAGCGTCAATCTCTGCAATCGCTGATCGCCAACGCTGCATAGCTTGTTCCCACCCTCTCTTGGTTGGATGCGATGAGGAGCGAGGAGTCGACGGCATATCATCGGTTTTGTTCTTCTGGTAGATCTTGTAGCTCTCCCTTTGCTTGTGCATCTCCACGCACCTCTGACGCTTGTCAGCGGTTGCCGTCGATGGCTTCATGGGACAGATGCCTGAGATGTCCAAGCAAAAGAATCCTGATACTGGTGCCAAGATGCTGCAGATGAAATATTCTCGAGACATGTAAGAACGTACACATTGTACGATGTGACTCTTGAGCGCATGTTGAACAAATACAGTTTTGGGCCTTCAGAACGTTTCAATAATGTCTTGCGAGACGTATGATCCCAGCAAGCCCATTGAGCCTTTGTCAGAACGTTTCAACAATGCATTGCGAGTAAATCACCCAGCAAACCCTTTGAGCTTTTGTCAGAACGTTTCAACAATGTCTGGCAAGTAAATCACCCCAGCAAGCCCATTGAGCCTTTGTCCCCACGTTTCACAAATGTCTTGCGAGGCAAATCACCTCAGCAACACCAAGATGCATCAAGGAATGGTTTCCTCTTCCTCTGCCCTCGGCAAAGATTCAGACGCACGACGTCGGAGTTTTCTACGCCGTTTCGGCGACCCTCTCAGCTTCTTTTGTTTCACAAAGCGCTCACTCACTCTGAGAGCTGCCAAAACATACGTCACCGTCGCTTCAGTCAGCTCCAGCCATACATCGGCGCCCTTGATTTGCCACAGCACACGGCACGAAATCTCAGGGAACTCTCGACCAGGTTCAGAAAAGGCGGGCAATCGAATCATCACAAACCTTTTGTCTATGAGAACCCCATCATCGTCCTTGGCAGCACGAAGGCGATGCATGGGTTGATCATCCTCAGACTCTTTCAGCTTACGATGCAAGGCTGCGTCACACGCTTCTTTTCCTCGACAATGTTTTTCCACAGGCTCTAAACATATAAGTAAACACAAAAAACGACCTACGTGAGTTATATGAAGTGTGCATTAAACACATGTAAAAGCCTTGCATACACCACGCACATACATTGTGTTAACCTATGCGCGCGTTTGATTCGACCCTGCTGACTAGTGTCGGAGCTTGCGGAGTTCTTCCCAAAAAACAACCTGAAGGTCGCGCTTTTCTTTCGATTTGTGACGCTGCATTCCTTTGCCAAAGGCGAGCTTGCAAAGAGTGCTGTCCCATTTGGAAAACCTGGCAAAAACGCGGCCTTCCACTTCAGCTACATCAGGTAGCCAACAAGTCTTCTTCATGTTCCCGACACGCACACTGAAGACCTTCTGAATCTTGACAGTCGGATCATCTTCATCACCTGAGCCCTCATCAGCAGCGTTCACCTCCTCTACATCAGACATGAAGGTAGAAGCGTGCTCACGCAATGATTGGCAAGGCACGTGTAAGCCAAACACTTTATAGGTTACTACGGACCCCACAGCGGAACTCGGACGTCACGCATAAACACTTCAAGTATAATTCAAACAAAACTCATCTTAATATATTTAAACGCTCTCTCTTTTTCTCGCAGATGGCTTATGTGGGTAAACTGTCAAGAAAGGATTCCTTTCAGGAGATCCTGAGCTTCTTTGCATATCTCTTATGCATGTCGTTTGCCTTGCTTCGGCCGACAGTCACCCACTTCCGCTTCAGCTAAAACAGGGATTCGAGCGTTTCCTTCATCACGGGACAAGATGGGCATTCTAGTTTAAGTTCACCTAGGAAACTCAATGCGTCGAGAGATCCTCGGCTCGGGGGATCGGCCACATTACTGCTTGAAGCGACCCTTGCGATCCAAGTCAGGGATTCAGACCTGGCGTCAGTTTTCTCCACCTCCAGGAGGAGGTGTCTCCACGAAAGCAAAGCCGAGTAACCCCTCACAAAAACATCTATGGTCGTCCAATTGTCACAGAAGAAAATCACTCTTTCGTGCTTCAAGTCCGCCGACCAATGTTCGAACGCTGTTGCCACTCCATACAACTCGACGAGACCGATCGGATGACTGGACTCAGACAGCCATCTTTCAAGCAAAGCTGGATGCACTTTGGTCCCAAACACTCTGGCCCTGCTGTTCGGTCTCAACATGACTGCTCCTATGGTCGCCAAAGGTTCGTCTCGATCATCGAACTCGAAGGCCCCGTCGGTGTAAATCAGAATCGGTTTGACAGGGTCCCCTGCTGTCAAAGTCCTGGGCTTGCCTTCCGAGAATCTTTGCTTGAGGATGACTAGGGAATCTATTACTTCGGGGGATAAGCTATGTTTATCCTTAGAGTCATGTCCAAGAGCCCTTAAGTCTGCCATGGCTAAGCCACCCATCTTTCCTGCCAACTGCATGTCTGCGAACTGCATCCTACCAAGGATCGAAGGAAGCTGGATTGGGATCACAAAGCCGTCGCCTAAAACCTTGTCAATAGTCTCCAGCAGTTCCTGTTTCCTCGAAGGTTTGTTGTCCACGACTATCTTGCCCTGAGAGGCTTGGGACAGATTCACGAGCACTCCTAAAGTTTCGGCTTCTTCCCCGAAAGGTGCCAGCTTCTCTTCGGCAAAGGCGAAACCTAGAAGTTCAAAGAGACCTTTCACGCATGTCATGGTCGACAGCTGGTGAGCCTCATGCGTGATTGTAGGGTAGTCGTCAAAATAGTTAGTCCACAAGATTCCCAGCCTAAGACCCAAGGCCCAGATGAGCCTTGAGATGCGGTTGAAGTGGAGCACACTGGCCACACTTCCAAAAGGAAGGGTACGCATTTCAAAGCACACAGCAGACTTGGTGTCGGGGTTCTTCAGGGTCACTATCGAACAACAATACTCCTCTGGGTGTAGAGGGAGTTGCTTGTAGGCCGACGCAAGGTCGAACGAAGTCATACGGAACTGACCTTGGGCATTTGACCAGGACTCGTGCACCTGACCTTTAAGCCGGCTCCCATCACTAAGCTTGAAGTCTATTGCTCCTCGGTGTTTACAAAACCTGACGCATACGCAAAGACTCCACAAAATGTGGTCCAAAGCATGAAGATCGATTTTGTCGCAACTGGAAAAGCAGTCGTTAAGATGATTTTCCTTCATATCATCTATTGGTCGAAGTTTTCCTTTCTGTCTGACTCCAAAGCGCCTAACCGGCAACCAAGTCCCCTGGTGCCTGTCGGACACACTGCTCGGATCGAGAGGCCCTTCGAGCCACCCCTTTTCGTTTGCCTCTCGGAGGGTGATGTCGTACAGTTCACGCTCATCTTCATCCTCAACTACCTGGTGGTTCAATTTTCCCAAAATCAAAGGCCTAATGAATTTCGAATCTTGCATGAGCTTTTCCTTGCTCATGCTGGCCGGACGAAATTCCTGTTTGAAGATGTGTGAAGGGGGAGAGTGACCTGTAAGCTTAAATCCTTCTCTGAGTTCTTGATGTATTCGTTCATCGGGCCAACCGATGCCTTTGGCAAGTTCTTCAAGCACCAGCAAGCGTTTTCCCTTCAGGATCCTAGCCACTTTGGGGTTCAGTTTCTTGTGCAGGTCTCGCTCACGCATCTGCAAAGCCCTGGCCTTTTGCATCCAACTATCCAATGTCTTGATCCTATGCTTGGTGAGCTCCACCAACCCCAAGGTCAAGTTCAGAAACAAGCAACGAATGAGATCATCTGGCAAGTTCATCAGTTCGTCGTATGGATGCCACAACTGACGGGAGACCTCAACAAAGGACTCCATACTCCTATAGACCCCGAAAACGCACAAGACCTTCTGTCCCGGTTTAGCTTCAGATCTCAACAAACGAGCACCGCATGGCAGGTCGCCTACAGCAGTCTGCAAGCATTGTTTGGAGTCAAGGGAAGGCACCCGGTCTAAAAGTCGTGTGATAACTTGGCCGTACTCTGACACTATTTGCGGCAAGCGACGTCCTCTGGGCTGTTTCTGAGGTTTGGCGGCCTCCTGTTGTGAGGCCTCGAGAGGGATAGAAATGCCACGTGCCTGAGCCAAAGTGACCAAAAAACATCAGTGTACGCTTCGCACAATTCTTTAGGATATTCTGCCTCTTTGGAAGTATTAAAAACCTGTGCCTCCTCGTCAAATCCCCACCCCTCGTGAGAATGCGTGCCATCACAAAATCTCTCCATGCAGCTAAAGCGGGCGTCGCTCGCAAGCAAAGCTGTGTTCTTCTTACGGCGACCTCCGTAAGCACATGCGTGAAGATGGTACAAATGGCCGCATGCCAAAGGAAAAGCCAGCTCTGGGAGTTCCCACAACCAGGAGTTACTGGGGTTCTCAATGACCCATGGGATTTGCAAGTGCTCCAAAAACTCAACGAACTTAGACATGGCGGCGTACAATTGGTTTGCAGCGGTGACCTTTGTCTTATCACTGGGTGACATGTTGGGGAGTCCATGTAAAAAATCGAAACTTCTCAAGGGCGGCGGACCTGGACTCCCGTCTGCTAAGGGAATGCCCCTGGCTTTGGAGCAAGTCCCACATGGCAGGCCTATGTGGACACATACGACTTCGAAGTCCGTGCACACCTGCCGCAAAACTTCCAAAGCATGTGGCGTTGCAAGGTCAAGAGTAAAAACGCTGCAGTGAGTCTTGTGGCGGTTGCGCGAGCAATCAATGGGAAAAACAGGAAAGCCCCTAGCTTTCGCAGTTGCGCTGAGGATTGCGCACCCTGCGCATGCTTCGATGAAGATTGGACTCTTTCGATGTTTGTCGGTTGGTTTCGAACATGATGTGTCTGCTGTTGCTGTGGGTTCGATCGCTGGTGAAACAAAATCGGATGCATCTGCTTGAAACTTGTTCTGGCTTGTCTCTGACTCTTCACGCTTGTTGGGGTTTGGACCGGGGTCGTCTTCGACGACCGAAAAAGAAGCTTTACGCTTGGTTCCCTTTGGGGGTTTCAAATTCTCAAACGGCCCTTGCTTCGGGCCCGCATGCATGTATGAGCCCTCTGCTTCGAGCTCATCTCTTGGACTGCCTAGTCACTCTTCCTTCCGGGCATTCGGACACTCCACCGCTGGATGCGGCTTGAAGCAGTTCTTGACACAGCACAGGTGCAATCCCCTGTCACACTTCTGTTGCTTCGCTTGTGCGTTGCAAGTCTTCAAATTGAATCCAAAGCAAATGCGATTTCCTTTCGAAGTGCTTGCGACACCCCCAAGCTTCAGCAGTTCAACTGGAACTCTTTGAAATGTGTCTGCCTTGCCTCCTCCCTTTCCTTTGGGACCGAGCTTGCGACGCTTGAAGGCATCGTCCTCCTTAACGATGTTCGGCTTGAAGCCACTGGGATTCGCGTTCGGAATCGCAGCGTTCTGGGCCATCCGAGGTTGAAGCAAGTGCCTGACCTCCGTTGCATTGAAACAAGCGTCAAATGAAAGATCACAAGGTCTCCCTGCCGGAGTTGCTTTAATGCCGCTTCGGGTGTGCTCCGACAAAAGTGTGAAGAACTTCTTGTCAGCCTGTTCCAACTGCTTCATGCTGACCTTCTGGTATCCTAGTGGAGGCTCTGACATACGAGTCTCCATCAACAACTCTGTCCACCTGTCGTGGTTCTCATAGCTCATCACATTTGCCTGCTCCATCGCGAGGCCTCGCCTCACAAGGCAATACCTGACTTGGATTTCCGATGATGTTTGAGCCGGATCTGGTTTGTCGTGTTTGGACAGTTTCAGTGTGCCATCACCTGAAAAACTCAAACTGGTGTCCTTTTTCACGTTGTTCGAAAGCTCAAACTCTCGAGAGATGCATGCTGACCATTCCACATAAACCAGCCTGTCGCTCTCATAGCAATTGCAAAACTTGTCGACTAAGGTGTCACCTGGTTCATAGTGACCTCGGATCGAAAGGCCTTTCAATCGGTTTTGTTGTTCCCTAAGACGTTCGGCTCGTTCAGCAGGAGCTAATTTCCTCGTTGCAGTTTCATCGGTCTGTTCAACTTGGGATTTGATGTCTGCCGCAACGTTGGCATAGCTTTCACTGAACAATCTTCTCATGATACTCATCTCTAAAGCCGTTGCATCACGGCCCAAATTCAAAGCGTCCTTCACCATGTCCACCAATGGCCTGTCTGATGCGGCCCCTGGTGCGTAGTTACAAGAAAAAGCAAAAAGAGCCATTGTCTTATATCCTTTGTCCTGGAGCTTTTCCAGGACAGCTCGCTCCATGCCCATCTGCAGCGCTCTTGCTTCGAACACCGCCGAGCTGTCGCCAAATGACATGGTGAGACCGCGAATCTAGCATGGGATGGCTATCCTTGAGTGCCCGGCTTCGGTCACGATCAAGATTCACGTCGAACCCCTTCCGATGTATAAGATTCCGTGAGGCCGCCGTTTTTTCAACTCAAGTGGCTTTGGGTCCGCGCGCGCGCGCGCCTCCGACAGCCGTTTTTAGAGCCCAAAAAGGCGCGCGCGCGCGCGGACCCAAGCTTCCAAAACGGTGACCTTCACGGATCTTAATATTCCGATGCTTATGCGCTCGTTTCTGTATGTTTGAGTTTCTTCTGTTTGGTAAATTGATTCTCATTGCACTCGACCAAAGTGTCCAAAAGAAAAGCGTCTGCACGAACTTCACCACGGTTTACCAATCTTTTTGCACAAGCTTTCAGTTTGAACTCTTCCAGTCTGTCTTCAATCATTTCAAGCTCTTAAATGTTTGCTTTCCATTCTTCAACAAAATTCAAACTCTTAAATGTTTGCTTTCCATTCTTCAAAGAAAAATCCTCAAGCGCACTCCATTTTCCCTTCATAGGCTCTCGACGTTGGTGTCATAGCTTCAGACACACTCCGCAAGCCGGATACACGAACTCCGGTTTCTCATCCAGGCGCAAATAGTTGGCATTTGCAGTTCGGCCACAACGAAAATGCGTACCTCCTTCGTCTGCGAGAACATGAAGGCATCGGGAAGTCTTGTGGCGAGCGTAGCACAAAGAGTCGGTGGCCTCCTGTGGCCTCCAGGGGCCTACAACTTGCGCAACTGCTTTCTCTTCTTCCTCCGGGATGTCGTCCTCCTCACTCTCCGAACCCCTGCTCTCCGAGTCCAGCGAACCATCGTCGTCTGAAGCAGGCTGGTTGCTTTCGCAAGTTGAGCCCGGGGCGAAATATCCGGACTGAGTCTTGTCCGGGAAAAACATGTCAGTCCTCACCGCCATGATGACTTCCCTAAGTCTCCTCAAAGGCAAGGACATGCTGTCTCTCGAGTATACCAGCAATGACTTGTCTTTCGAACAGCTGTGGTATCCCAACATGCGACGAACTGAATGTTCTAAGCCAAACTTCGAACACATGCTCAACAAGGTGCTCTTGCACGAATGCGTTGCGATTCGAACTGCGGCACCATCGGACACCTTCAACAAAGCTCGAAGCCATTCCCCTGCTGAACTCACCGGCAAAGGGGTTTTGGACCACGAGCCATCCGCCATTGGTGAGGTCATCAAAGGTGTTCCTCTCTCACACTTCAAACCCGCCTTGTCCCTCAGTTCAAGCCACGTCAAAACCCAGCTAGGGTCGGAAAAACCCAGGATTGGAACAGCAGTCGGAAGGTGCCTTGTCTTGCGCTCCAATGTGATCGAGGTCTTCGTTCTTTCGGCCTCGCATTCAAGGAAACCTTCCAGGTCGGTGCCGACTGTGATGACATCAAGTTTCATGCTCGAAATATGAAGTCCGTCACTGAACCTAAGTCTTCCGAAGATCAAGAGCAAAAAGTAGCCTGCTGCGATCCTGTCAAAAGCAGTCCTACGTTCGTCCTTCACGATCTGTTCCAGGTGCTGCACTTGCTCAACAGTCAAAGGTGGCCTTTGCACTACTTTCCTTCGATTGCAAAAATGCGCCGCTGACAAACCCTTAATTCGACCGCTGTTCAAAACGACTTCCCCTCCCATGAGGCCCAAAATATGGAAGGCGAACGAAATGGAGAGCAAAAGCGATCTGAAAGAACTCGGTGCGGCGTTTGTCCAAGACTTGAAGTATTCGTACAGCATCGGTTCCTCGACTGGAAAACATTCACAACCCCTGTCCCTCCAGAACTTTGCAAAACGAATCAAAGGTCCTGCCCTGTTGTGAAGTGTGCTTGACGCCTTGTTGGCCAGGGCATCGCTCACTGAATCCATGAGACCTCCTCGGGCGAAATTCAAAGCTCCCGACGCGGCAACCTGTCGAGAGATCTGCCAAGCACCTACATTGGTCAAGATCAAAGAGCACCATTTCTTGTACGCACACTTCCTTTCCCATGACAGCTTCTCATGCCACAGTTTATTATCTGCTGTGGTTGCAAATTTCAACTTAGCCTCACGAAAAGCACTTTTGCTGAGCTCTGGACCAACTTCGAGGTTGTTAGCTGAACTATGGACTTTTGGCATCAATGGCATGTTTCCGGACACAGGCATGACTTGCGTGGAACTGGAAAACACATCGAAAGGCGTCCTCAAGCACGCATCCCATGGCATGACATGTGACTCTGATTTACGAAATCTATTCCAGCAAAATGCAAGATGTTTCTCATATCCATCCCCGGGGACGGCTTGCCCCTCATTTCCTCCCTCCATTGCACCCCAATTCCGCTTTAGTGAAGGTATCATCGACGATGACGGTGCTCGTAGCAACTATGATGTTTATGTCCTTCGGCCCGTGTACACGGGCGGTCACACCAGCGGCAATGAAAACCGCACCTCCACGGCGAACGAAGGCCCGGGGAGGAGGGCACCTCCCACGAGCCCTGGCTTTCAGGGATGCGCGGAGAAGAAGGCTGATCCGGAGCGGCAGTTTCGGCAAAACCAACAGTCAGTTCACTCAAAATCAGCTGAATCCAGCGAAGCAAATTGCTAGTGGAAACCTGAGACAAATCTGGGAACTCGGCACCACGATCTCCCATTGCCAAAAACTACTCGCTCGCTTTGGATGGAATGAGCGCCCACCCGCCCTTCCCGCTTCTTGAACGGTAAAGCCGCGGCCGCGTTTGTATTTCCCGTTTGCTTGAAGACTGTCGTTTTTAAAAGCTTTGATTGTATTAAAACATGTTTAACTTTTGGTACACAAAGTGTGTTTCACACCGCTTGTGAACTTTTAGCTTTTGATGTACACACGTGCGTCATACTTATGTGCTCATTCAGAACGCACCTGACGGACACATGTGCTTATCTACTGAAACTTAAAAACCTTTTACGCAGTGGGGGATGTTAGCTTAACATCAATCCTGCGTTACCTATAAACCGTCATTGGCACGCCAACAACAAACACACCAACACGAATCCAGTCAAGTTGAATCATACCGACACGCGCACCTACGCGACATGTACTCTGTCCAAACAACCTGAGTGTCCCATATAGACGTTTTCGTCATCTCAACACAAAAACTGTTTAATCAACAACATATCGAAAAAACAACATGGAAATTTGGCCCGCTCAAACCTTTTTTGCACGCGCCGCTCATACCTTTTGGAAGTATATCGTTCCGAGGCACTTTGCCTTCGCGCCAGAAGAATGTATAGGGCCCCTCTGGCAACACTGCAAAGCTTGACATATGTTCACTTCTTTGGCTTAATCCTTTTCTTCGGAGGATCCACTGCCTCCAAGGGACTCATGCGTTTCTTCTTGTTTTCCTTGAACAACACACAACTGTCACCGGCCTCAAGCAGAGATAGGTTTTTGATTACTGGAAGGAGCACTTTGCTGGTAGGGCTAATGTCCTGACTCAGTTTGATATCCTGAATCTCGCAACTGGCTTCGTCCTTTTCACAGGACTCCGGTAACAGCCAAAACGGGTTCAAAAACCCGCTCTCGTCGTCCTCCTTTGGCCACTGGGTCAATGGCGCCAAAGCCACGAGGAAGGTATCCCCGCCATGACTACACTGGCCGATCACCAAGGCATCCTTCACTTCAGGAGCGATGACCACCTTGCAAGTGCTGCATGGGATCACCAGCTCCCCTGACTTGAAGCTTCTGGACACCTTCACATCTCTTGGACCTTTGTAGATCTCCAAACCAAGGAAATGCTTCATTTTGGGCATTTTGAGCTGCTCGAACATTTCCATTTGCACCTGCGCCTTCACGCAAGCAAAAAAGAATTCTTTGCTAACGCTTGGCTGACATGCGGTGGTCCACGGGACAAGCTCCTGGACGTGCGTTTTTTTCAACTTCCATTCCCCATCCAGGAAGGATTGAAGCGATGCTTTGGCCTGGTAAGGCTTCTTACATTCAATCAACATAGTGACACCATCCTTGTCAACGGTGATAATCTTGGCAACTGTGTCATCCAACCGTTGAATCATGCATCCATCTCGGAAGCCCTTTGCCTGCACCAATGTGTGCTGATTCACTGGCGCCCCGTCTTTGTCATACTGCACGAGGACCCTTGACATTGTTTTCTTTGAAGCGACATCGGGAAACACAAGTTGTTTACAAAGTCTCACTTGTCCCCACTTGTCACCCACCCAAAAAAATATCCATTGCAAAGAACAAGGAACTCTCCAGTAGCTTTTGATGATGTCCAAGCTCAATGCAAATCCCAGACAATGAGCTTTCAGGAGCGTATCCCAAAGTTGCAAAGGACTTCAAAAGGTCTTGCACATGAGTCACATCTACCATCTGACCGTCTCGGTTGGCTTCATGGCAGCCCACATGTTTGCGTGAGATTTGCTGCAAATGAGCATAGCCTCGACATTGAAAGAATGTCAAGAGATCACCCATCTTCTGCGCCAAGTTCCCTTTGCGAGCCTCTTCCAAAACTTTTCTGATATGCGCTAAGTCGGAATCCAACATCGTGATGGCAACGGGTGAAGCAAACCGATCGACAAGATTTTATTGTTCATGGATGATATTGTCACCATTGGGATTGATACATGTCCTTTCACATATGAACATGACAATGCGCGATGAACACTTCAAAACCAGAAGGCGCTAATGCGTTGAGACAGAAAGGGACGACATTTTACAAGTTCTTTCGATGATGTGACTCCACAAGCTCAAGTTTCAATCAGCATGCAAGCAACAACCAAACAAAGTATCAGCGAGCACCTGCCCAACTGCCTGCCTCTGGACCCTCTTCCCTCGCGCCAGGACAAAACGCCTCGGGCTGATACAAATCTTTCCAGTTGAACGAGCTCAACCATCAAATATGCAAACCACAATCAAGTCATGCGAGTTCATCAAGTCATGGATGCAATCCGCTCGTAAGGCCATGAACAAATTTCACCCGCAAGATTGACTAAATACAGTTCATGTAACTCGTGACCCTCTGAAGACTGAGAAACCGGCCGAGGATCAATCAAGCGACCAAACCCCTCTCTGGCCAAATCCCTCTCTGCGCTTTGAGAATGAAATATCCAAAAACAACAATGAGAACTGCTGTACAGCTAGAATGCGCGCATGCAAGAAAGGCAGTTTTTGAACCCAAGAGTTGAATGGCCACACTTCAAAACACACACAAAACACGTGTCAAAAGTCAGAGCATGGATACCACCCAGCAAATCTGCGAGATTAACCCAGTGAGACTTCAGAACAAAAGTTCCTTGCAACACCCAGCCGTTGTTCCCAAAAGACACGTTTCCACCCAATTGCCTTTCCTAGCTCGTCTTTTTAAATTAATAGCCAAAAAACAGTTTTGGAAAACCAGCAGATCGCAGGGGGCCTACGGTTCCTGGTCAATCCAAACGAGCGCGCACTTGCATCGATTGCAATTGCGTCTGTATTCATGGTTGTATATTGTCAATGAGTGCTCCCAAAAATGCATGCCACAGTTGCCAAATATGCCGGGCACGCTTTCTAACTAAACTATAGTGCACTTGCTATGTACCCCCGGGGGACTTAATCAATAGAAAGTGGGAACTTGCTAAGTAGGCTGGGCAAACTTGCTAAGTAGGCCGGGACAAGTTTGCCAACCAAGCCCGCGCGCACTTATAAGTGTGCCCTAACTAAGCCGCTAACTAAACCCCAACAATTTACAAGTCAAGCCTTCTTAGTTATGTAAATAGGCCATCTCATTTAGTAAACAAACCAATGTACATAGACAACTTACTGACCGCTAGTTATATCTAACATATAAGTTTCCGCAACTAGTTACCAAACTTAGTAAATACATATAACTATCCGAAAATAGTTAGCAATCTAACTATCTTACTTGGATGAGATTGCGGAGTTATAACTTTGGTCAGTGCAATTTATAACTGAAGTTGAAGAATGTAGTAAACCAGCCATCCTGGACAGACAAATAGCAACCACGCCGACCATCCAAGTAGGTGTGGAAACCTTGTCAAAAGGTTGAACACCTTGGCAAAAGGTGTGGGCACCTTCATGCGAACACCTTGGGGTATGAACACCTTGGCAAAAGGTGTGGACACCTTGGCAAAAGGTGTGAACACCTTGGCAAAAGGTGTGGACACCTTGGCAAAAGGTGTGGACACCTTGGCAAAAGGTGTGGACACCTTGACAAAAGGTGTGTGGACACTTTGACAAAAGGTGTGAACACCTTGGCAAAAGGTGTGGGCACCTTGATAAAAGGTGTGGACACCTTGGCAAAAGGTTGGAACACCTGGGCAAAAGGTGTCAACCCCTTGGCAAAAGGGTGGAGCACTTTGACAAACAAAATACAAAGATCAGTTTCACTTGCATATCTTGAAGAGATTGCATGAAAAAGGACATAAATCATTGATTGCCTAATTGATTTTGTTATTGATTTTGTTATTGATATTATCAATAGACAAGCTTGTAAGATTTATTGATTTTCAATGTGTTTTTATATTGAAAATGTAGTCTTCCAAATCAATTAAAACAATTGATTTGGAAGACTACAAAATCAATTATTTTGAGCTTATTGATTAGAATCAACAACCGATGCTCAGGGAAGTTAAGCACTAAAAGAGTTTCGCCAAAACGACCAAATCACTACTAGCTAACCCAAATAGTTCTGTTGCAGTTCAAGACTAAGACACTTCAGCAAAGGATGTCCCACAGCGTCCGACATAGAAACTGCAAAAGAGCCTCTTGGATAGAACCTGAGCACATGAATGAATGAGCTCTGAAAGTGCAGATAGGCGCAACCAACAGACAGCCAGTCCAAAGCAATGTTAAACAAATTGTCAAGGGACGGCTTTCTGATTCATCTTGCACTCTGTGACGCTGGTCGGACAATCTCTTTAAGAAATTAACGCACCTCAGTCAGTCTGTCCAGTCCATCCGTCACTGAGTCAAATACTTACTAGAAATGCTGACAGTACCACAAACAAAATACAGCAGTCAGTGAAACAAGCGTAACTTCTATGGTATTAAGTATTATTACTGGTCTGACAGAGCCCATCAATGACTATCACAACAATTGAACAATGACAACTATCCTGAAGTGAAGTAAGTTCAAACAAAAGCGTTGTGAATCTTTTAACCCAAAGGCATCAATTGGTCCATCTGAAGGAAGCGATTGGCCTGCTCGAGCGTCATGCGAACATTGCAGGCCGCAGAGTACAGCTGGACCAGCTCACCATCGAAGACGACTTGACTCATGGCCCAGCTGATGATGTCCGATGTGAAACTGTCCGGTCAGTCCAACTATGAATGCGAATGTCAAAAACAATCATCTTGTGGTTCGGGTCACTGTCGAGGGGAACAGTTTTCCTAAGACTGACTACCTACATTGCAGTAGCAGATCAGTATAGTGCCCTAATTGTAAACACATGTTGGTCCCTTTCACGCAAACACGGCTGTTAAGAGCATCCTCATTGACTCATA